GGGGCGCGGGGCGCGGGGCGCGGGGCGCGGGGCGCGGGGCGCGGGGCGCGGGGCGCGGGGCGCGGGGCGCGGGGCGCGGGGCGCGGGGCGCGGGGCGCGGGGCGCGGGGCGCGGGGCGCGGGGCGCGGGGCGCGGGGCGCGGGGCGCGGGGCGCGGGGCGCGGGGCGCGGGGCGCGGGGCGCGGGGCGCGGGGGAGACCCAGGCAGGGAGGCGGGAGGAAGGGGGCTTGGGGCCCCACATGAATGTGTAAGGTCAGTGGTGCGTTCCCGAGTCAGGAGACCCAATGGGAACGCCCGGTGGGCGGGTCTAGACCCTAAGGGGCGGGGTCAACAACCTATTAGCATGCGCTGGGCGGGGCTAGGTCGCCGGCTGGGCGGGGCCGCCGGTGGGCGTGGTCAACCCAGCAGAGGCGGGGTTTTGCTTAGACACTGTGGGGCTTTGCTTACGGGTGAGGCCAGGTTTAGGGGTCCTTATTGAATGGGAAGCTTCCTGGGCCCATACTTAGGGGTCCCTGAGGGCCATCGAGTCCGGACACATGCGAACCGGAGGGGCCGCTGCAAACCAGGAGCCTGCATCCCTGAAGTGTCACTAAGGGGCTGGGATGCAGGGCCCCGCAGGGACATGGGCTGGCGCCCCTGAGCCCCTAGAGGGTTGTTATTTATTTATTTATTTATTTATTTATTTATTTATTTAATATACAGAGAGGAAGGGAGAGGGCTAGAGAGCTAGAAACATCGATGAGACAGAAATATCCACCAACCGCCTCCTGCACACCCCCTACCTGGGATGTGCCCACAACCAATGTACACGCCCTTGACCGGAATCGAACCTGGGACCTTTCAGTCCGCAAACCCACGCTCTATCCACTGAGCCAAACCTGTTCCGGAATGCAGTGGGGGAACTGGGTCCCCGTAGGGAGGCTCCTGAAGGGGCATGGGAGCCCCTGGGTCCTGCCTCAGCGGCCCCTGCACTCCCCCCTCCCCCCCTCACAGAAGTTTAAGGCTCCCTGGCGGCGCTTCTTCACCTCCATGCCCGTCTACGCCATCATCGTGGCCAACTTCTGCCGCAGCTGGACCTTCTACCTGCTGCTCATCTCCCAGCCCGCCTACTTCGAGGAAGTGTTCGGCTTCGAGATCAGCAAGGTTGGGCCCGGGGGCGGGGGAGGGCGGGCAGGGGCGCGGCGGGCGGAGAGAAGAGGGGTGGAGAAGGGGGTGGAGAGAGGAGGGGTTGAGAGGGGGAAGGAGAGAGGAAGGGTGGAGAGGGGAGGGATGGAGAGGGGAGGGGTGGGACTGAGGGACCCGGAGGAGCCGGCGGAGGCAGGGACGGGCAGAGCCCCGCGGGCGGCCCTGAGCGCCGGCCCTGCCTCCGCCGCGCAGGTGGGCCTGGTGTCGGCGCTGCCCCACCTGGTCATGACCATCATCGTGCCCATCGGCGGCCAGATCGCCGACTTCCTGCGCACCCGCCGCATCATGTCCACCACCAACGTGCGCAAGCTGATGAACTGCGGCGGTGAGTGGGCCCGGGCCGGGCAGGGCGCCGCGGGGCGCCTCCGGGGCAGAGACCCGGCCTCGCTGGGCTGGAAGAGCGGGTCCACACGGGGCAGGGAGGCGCGCACGGAAAGGAGGGGACGGAGAGGGGCTGAGAGTGGGGGGCCTGGGAGACGGGGTGCAGGTGGCTGCTGTCCTAGGGGTGTGGACAGAGAGGGAAGATGTGAAGGCGCAGGGGTGGGGCTCGGACCCTGTATCTTTGGGGCGTGGACTAATCAGAGGGTGGGATCACCTTGGGCCCAGCGGAGGCGCTGGAGCTTGTGCGCTCGGGTGGTGGGGCCAGGCTTAGGGCAGGGGCTGGTGGAAGGGGCCCCCAGCCCCTCCTCCCTCAGCCCCTCCTCTCTCAGACCCAGGGGTCCAGGCCCCAGCCCCTCCTCCCTCAGACCCAGGAGCCCAGCCCAGCCCCTCCTCCCTCAGACCCAGGGGTCCAGGCCCCCAGCCCCTCCTCCCTCAGCCCCTCCTCCCTCAGACCCAGGCCCCCAGCCCCTCCTCCCTCAGACCCAGGGGTCCAGGCCCCCAGCCCCTCCTCCCTCAGACCCAGGGGTCCAGGCCCCCAGCCCTCCTCTCTCAGACCCAGGGGTCCAGGCCCCCAGCCCCTCCTCCCTCAGACCCAGGGGTCCAGGCCCCCGGCCCCTCCTCCCTCAGACCCAGGGGTCCAATCCCCCAGCCCCTCCTCCCGGAGAGGGCCAGGCCTGGAGCGGACGGAGGAGGGTGGGGGGATCAGGTCTGGGGTGACGGCGCTCAGAGGAGCCCCCACCTCCCAGGCTTCGGCATGGAGGCCACGCTGCTGCTGGTGGTCGGCTACTCGCACTCCAAGGGCGTGGCCATCTCCTTCCTGGTCCTCGCCGTGGGCTTCAGCGGCTTCGCCATCTCCGGTGAGGACGGCGGGCGGGGCGGGCGGGCGGGCGGCTGGGGGATGGGGCTGCGCTGGGGGAGCTTCTGGCTCAGGAAGGGCGCCTCCCAGCGGGGAGCGGGGCGGGGGCGGCTCCGAAGGGGTCCTCCGGCGCCTCTCCTCAGGGTTCAACGTGAACCACCTGGACATCGCCCCGCGCTATGCCAGCATCCTCATGGGCATCTCCAACGGCGTGGGCACGCTGTCGGGCATGGTGTGCCCCATCATCGTGGGCGCCATGACCAAGCACAAGGTGGGTGCCCTGGCCCTGACCCACTGCCCTCCGCCTCCGGGCTCCGTGCCTCGCTGATGCGGGCGGCCTCTCTCTGGGTCTGTCTCCCTTTCCCTGGGCCTCCCCCATCCCGCTAAAACCTTCTCTGGCTCTCAAATATATTTTTATTTATTAAAGTATATTTCTTGCCGAAACCGGTTTGGCTCAGGGGATAGAGCGTCGGCCTGCAGACTGCAAGGTCCCAGGTTCGATTCCGGTCAAGGGCATGTACCTTAGTTGCGGGCACATCCCCAGTGTATGTGTGTGTGTGTGTGTGGGGGTGGTGCAGGAGGCAGCTGATCGATGTTTCTAGCTTTCTATCCCTCTCCCTTCCTCTCTGTAAAAACTCAATACAATATATTTTAAAAAATAAAAAAACATAATAAAGTATATTTTTATTGATGTCAGAGAGGAAGGGGGAGGGAGAGAGATCAAAACATCAACGATGAGAGAGAATCATTCATCAGCTGCTTCCTGCAGGCCCCCCCCCCCATGGGCATCGAGCCCCGGGCATGTGCCCTTGGCTGGAATCGAGCCCGGGACCCCTTCAGTCCGCAGGCCGACGCTCTACCCACTGAGCCACACCGGCCGGGGTTAAACCTCTCTCTCCCCGTCCGCAGACCCGGGAGGAGTGGCAGTACGTGTTCCTCATCGCCTCGCTGGTGCACTACGGCGGCGTCATCTTCTACGGGGTCTTCGCCTCCGGGGAGAAGCAGCCGTGGGCGGAGCCCGAGGAGATGAGCGAGGAGAAGTGTGGCTTCGTGGGCCACGACCAGCTGGCCGGCAGCGACGAGAGCGACATGGAGGACGAGGCCGAGCCCCCGGGGGCCCCGCCGGCCCCCCCGCCCTCCTACGGGGCCATCCACAGCACCGTCCAGCCCCCCAGGCCCCCGCCCCCAGCCCGGGACTACTGAGCCTGCCTGTGCCTCCCGCCAGGGGTGCAGTTTCCAGAACCTCCATTCCGCAGCCTCTGGCCCGGGGGCGGCGTGCGGGAACCCGAACCCGGTCCTCGCGTCCTGCCTGGGGCCTGGGGCAGCTCCCTCCTCTGCTCCCCGTGCTGTGCATCCTCTTCCCCTCCCATTGCCTCTCGGGGCAGCGAAGCTGCGGGTGGCGGTTTCAAGGATACCCAGCCTCCCGTAAGGGTCCCCTTTCCCACCTGTTTTGCCTCGATGGTCTCAAACCTCTCTCCGTTCAGGGCTTTGTTTCAGTGGACAGTTCAGTCTCTCGCTCTCTCACGTGGTTTTTGAGGCAACTCCCCCCCTTCCTCTCACCCCAGGGGCCCTGAGTTACTCAGCCCCCCTCTTTGCTCAGAAAAGAATCAAGGTCTTCCTCTAGAGGTTTCCATTCTCGCCTAAATCTATTCTGCATTTTTTTTTCAGGTTGGTTTAGCCAATCACCCCCCCCCCCCCCCACACACACACACCACTATTTTAGAGATCGATTCTCACCAGCGTTTCTGAGGGGAAATGGTGGTTTCAAGACCCCCCCTCCAACCCCTCACCCCCCCGCAGCAGATTCTGCTGAGACACCAAATCCCCCAAGACCTTCTCCCCCCGCTTAGCCCCACGTCCCGGGGAACAGCCCCGCCGGCAGGTTCTCCGAACGCCTCGCGCCACCCCTATGCACTTTTCTGACAGATTTCAGGGTCAAACCGTGGCTGCTCAAGTCCATCAGTGGTGTGAAGCCACCACCACTGAACGTCCCCCGGGGGTTTCAACACGTGTCCCCCCCCCCCCCAGTTCCTTGCACTTTATTCTCCTGGGTGGTTTCACGCCGCCCTCGTTTTCTCAGTGGCCATTGGTCATGTCCCTCAGGGGCTAAATGACTCAAAATCTGGGATGCTACCCTTCCAGGCACCTCTCTTTGGGCTTAGAATTTGGGGAACAAATAAATAAATATATATAAGAGAAGTCACAGAGTCCCAGGAAAGGGAAAAAAGGGGGGCTGGGGCGAGAGGTGTTTTTCCCCCGGGGCAGGGGGTGTCTGTGTGTCTGTCTGTGACTGTGAAGCCTGCCCTGCCCCATCCCAATAAAGTGCTTTGGTGTACACGCCCGGTCCTCGTCATTGGGGCGGCGGCCGTGGGGAGCCCTGTCCTCCTGCAGCCCCGTGTTCGAGGCCCCTCCTCCCCCAGCAATGAGGCCGGAGCAGGAGACCGGTGAGAGGCGGGAGGGAACACGTGCTTTATTGGGCCCCAGCGAAGGCGCCTCTGGGGGCACCGCTCTGCAGCAAAGCGGCCGGGAGGGGGTGTCTGAGGGCGGCGCCCGCCCGAGGGGCACCGAGAGGGGCTCGCTCACACGAAGTTGTCGGGGAGCGAGGCGGGGGAGAGCGGCTCCAGGCGCTGCGGGCGGCCCCCGCGCGGCGGCGGGGGCAGCTTGGGCGGCAGCGGAGGGGTGGGCGGCGGCTGCTTGGTGGTGGAGATGTGCGAAGGGATCCAGGCCTCCGGCGCGTAGAAGTAGAGGTCGTACGGCTCCTTGGGGGCGTCCAAGTGCAGGGCTGCGGGGCACAGGGGCGGGGTCACTCCGGGGCTGGCCAGGAAGGAGCCGGCCTGCCCCCCCCGCTGGGCCGCTGGCCAAGGAGGGGGTGGGAGGGAGGATGCTGACCGCCCTGAGGAGCTGGGTTTTCACCCCAAAAGGGCGAGGGGAGGGCCCTTGTGTAGGTGAGGGAAGCGTGGCCGCCGCGCAATGAGGGCGGGGCTTGAAGGGGAGAGGGCGGGGCTTGCAGGGCTCCTGGCGGGCAGGGGCGGGGTTTGACACAGAGAGGGCGGGGCTTGCAGGGCTCCTGGTGGATGGGGGAGGGGCTTGAGGCGGAGAGGGCGGGGATTAAAGCGGAGAGGGCGGGGCTTGCAGGGCTCCTGGCGGGCAGGGGGCGGGGTTTGCAGGGACCTGTAGCCGGGAGCCTGCAGCGGTCCCAGCTGGTCTGGGGGAAGCACCGGGATCCTGTGTGTGAAATCTCAGAGAAATGGGGGGGCAGGACTTGACCATGGAGGGGTCAGGGCTTCTGTTGACCTTGGATATGGGGGACCTGTACATCTTGGCCGGGAGCCCTAACGTGCCAGGTGAGCCGAAACCGGTTTGGCTCAGTGGATAGAGCGTTGGCCTGCAGACTGAGAGGTCCCAGGTTCAATTCCGGTCAAGGGCATGTGCATCGGTTGCGGGCACATCCCCAGTGGGGGCTGTGCAGGAGGCAGCTGATCGATGTTCCTCTCTCGTTGATGTTTCTAGCTCTCTCTCCCTCTCCCTTCCTCTCTGTAAAAAAAATCAATTTTATATATATATATATATATATATATATATATATATATATATATATATATATATATATTTAAAAATAAATAAAGTGCCAGGTGACACCAGGGAAAGGAAACGGGCTGGCAGTCAGGGCGGGCGCTGTCAGGGTCGCTCACCAGACTCATCGCCGTCATTTGGAAGCCGGTGGTGTGCGAAGGGCCGGTGCCGGGCCGCCCGGCGGTAGAGACACCACAGCAGCAGGAAAATGCCGATCAGCAGGCCCGTCCCGGCGAAGAAGAGGCACAGGGCCCCTCCCGCCCCGCCCCGGGGGCGGCCCACCAGGGTCACGCCTGAAGGAAGGAGCCGGCAATAAGTACCCTAAACCCCAGCCCTCCTCCCTCAGACCCAGGGGTCCGGGCCCCCAGCCCCTCCTCCCTCAGACCCAGGGGTCCAGGCCCTCAGCCCCTCCTCCCTCAGACCCAGGCGTCCAGGCCCCCAGCCCCCAGCCCTCCTCCCTCAGACCTGGAGGTCCAGGTCTCAGCCCCTCCTCCCTCAGACCCGGGTCCGGGTCCCAGCCCCTCACCGGTCTCCTTCACACGTTCCACCAGGATGATAGTGTTGACTCTCTCACCTCGGTTGCGCCGCTGGGGGGCCCGCAGAGTGGCAGGGGCCGGCTGACTGGGGGGCCCTGGAGGAGCAGGGGGGTCCGGGGTCCGGGGGGAGGGGAGAGCGGCATCTGGCCCTTTAGGGCTAGAGTTCCGGGGGGCCTTGGGCTCGGCAGTCCCAGGAGCCTCGGAGGTGGGCAGTGTAAGGGAGCTGGGCTGGATGGCCGAAGGGGGTTCTGGCTCAGGGTCCAGGGGCGGCCCGTGCGGGGCAGTAGCTTGGTCCCCGGAGGGTGCGGGCGTGTCTGGGTGAAGACGGGGGGAGGTCTCAGGGCCTGAGTCCCTGGCCATCTCTGCGGCATCTTGGGAGTGGGCCGTGGGGAGTTTTGACGGGGGAATGTCAGTGGGGCCGAGGTGGTGGGTCGCATGGGATTCTGGGTCGGGGGAATCAGTAGGGTTGGGGTGCAGGGTCTGAGGGAATTCAGTGTTCGGGGTCTCAGTGGTGTTGGGCTCACGGGCTTTTGGAGTTTCGGGGTGGAGGGTTCCGGTGGGGTCAGGGTCCGAGGCCTCTGCCTGTGGGATTTCAGTGGCTTTAAGCTTGGGAGCCCCTGGGGATTCCTGGGGTGGCATTTGGGGAGGGTCAGGGTTCAGGGTCCCAGGAAACTCTGGGTGTGAGGTTGTGGGGGCCTCAGGGGGTTCCGGGTGTGGGATCTCAGGCAGGCCAGGCGTGGGGGACGCTTCCGGATGGGTCATTTGGGAGGGGCTGATTTCGGGGTTCTCCGGGGCTTCTGACGTGGGGGTGTTGAGGGAGTTGGGCTTGGGGGCCTCCGGAGGCTCTGGGTGTGCGGGGTCTTGGAGGTCAGGGTTGGGGGGGTCAGTGACGTTAAGGGGAGAGGACTCGGGGGAACCGGGAGGAGGCGCCCTGGAGGGCTCGGGAGCCGCTGCCCCGGATTCCGGGGGAGGCGGGTGGAGAGGGGCGTTTGCCGAAGGAGGAAGGACGGGGTCCGAGGGGAGGCCCATCCCCGGGAAGTCGGAGCTCGTCGCTGGTGAGGCCGATGGCGCGGCCCTGGAACCCCGCCCGGCGAGGAGGAAGACGAGGAGGAGCAGAGGGCGGAGGGCGGTCATGGCTCCGGAGGGAGGACGCCTGTCGCTGCCGGGGAGCGGGGAGGACGGGACTCAGGCAGGAAGCGGCCCGGAGTCCCTGCTCGCGCCCAGAGGCCACGCCCACACAGAGAGGCCACGCCCACTCACCAGGAGATCACGCCCACTCCCCGGAGGCCACGCCCACTGGTCCCCAGGCGGACCCCTGCCCTGCCAGGCTGGTCCCAGGAAGGCAGAGCCTCACTGCACGTCCCTGAAGGCTGGGGCATTGGCCGCCGTAGCTAAGGGACACGGGCGCGGGGCTTCTTGGGAGTCGTAGTTAATTTCCTTATCTGTTTCCCCAAGGGGGGTCCCAGAAAAATTGGGGGGAAATGACACCTCTCTAAGTCCCCAGACCCCCTCAACCTCGACTTCGGAGGATGTAGATCTCTGAATGAACCGGGGTTACCGTCCTCTCCGAGCCCCCTCCCCCCCCCCCCACAACACACCTGGACTCCACAGTTGTTTACAACGGGAGGCTCAGAAGGAAGGACTGGGGCTGGGGCTGAACCCCTGGATCGGAGGGAGGAGGGAGACTCTTGGTCTGCTGGTGGGGGGGCGGGTTTCAGACTCCCAGAGGCTGGAGGGCCCTGTGGGTCTCAATTCCTGCTTCTTTGGAGAGAAGCTGGAAGGTTCAGATGCTGGGGATTTTGCGGGAGCCAGGCTGTGGGGGGCTGGGTTATCGGGGAGAAGGACTTGGGATCCTGAATGAGAAGGTTAGGAACTCTGAGTCTCGGGTCTTCCAGAGATAGGGGTGTGGGGGCGGGGGTTGAACCCCTCAGACTCCTGGGGGACTCAGGTCCCTGTTACCTGAGAATGGAGCTTAGATTTCAGGGTCTCGCTCTGGGGCCGCCTGTGGTCAGGTGGAGGTGGGCTTGGGGGACACCTGGCTGGGACAGGGTCATGTGGGGCCCTGGGCCTCCTACCTGTTCGGGGGGGGGGGTCCAAGATGACAGCAGGAGAGCAGAGCGGGGCGCAGAGACCAGTGAGTGCTGCAGAATGGCTCTGGGTGGGGCAGCAGGAGGGAGGGAGGGTCCCAGGGCGCAGGTGAGGCACCTGACCCTCTCCCTGGGGATCCTGGGAGCCTAGCGACAAGCTTGGGATCTTAAAGGGACAGAGCTAAAGTGCATTGTCTCCGGTCCTGACCGGTTTGCTCAGTGGCTAGAGGGTCGGCCTGAAGACCAAAGGGCTGTGGGGTAGATTCCTGGTCAAGAGCACGCACATACTTCGCTACAGGTTCTCCAGCCCCAGGTTGGGGCACATGCAGGAGGCAGCTAACAGATACGTCTCTCTCATCTATGTTCCTCTCTCCCTCCTCCCTCCTTCCACTCTCTCTAGAAGTCAACAGGGGAAAAGCTCATTGTCTCTAGAGTGGGGAAGGGAGTTAGATGATCTGGCCTAACCAAATGGAAGTCCCTGGTGCCATCCTATGCCAAGACCCAGGAGCCAGGCCCCTCAGCCCCTTCTCCTCAGAGCCAGGAATAGACACCCCCAGACGCCTCCTCCACCGGAATCCAGGAATCCAAACCCAGGAGCCGGAGCCCCGGCCCTGGCCCTGGCCCTTCCGGGAAACTGAGTCCAGCTTCCTGCATCTTGCCTGTTTGCTACTGCCTTTGGGAAGTCCCCACCTTTACCCGCCCCCCCGCTGTGTAGAGTGCACCCTCTTAACAGAGTGCGTGTGCATTGGGGTTTATCTTCCTGACACCCCACCCTCCCCCTCCCCCTCCCCCAAGGGTCAGGCACATCTCCGGGGCAGCTCGGGGCCCTGTCCCTTTCCCCATCTCCCTGAGGCTCTGGAAGACTTTCCTGTCATTTAAAAAAATATATATTTTATTGATTTTCCACAGAGGGGAAGGGAGAGGGATAGAGAGCTAGAAACGTCGATGAGAGAGAAACATCAACCAGCAGCCTCCTGCACACCCCCCACTGGGGATGTGCCCTCAACTAATGTATATGCCCTTGACCGGAATCGAACCTGGGACCTTTCAGTCCGCAGGCCAACGCTCTATCCACTGAGCCACACCGGTGTCGGCTTTCCTGTCATTTTACCTGCCTTCACACCCCACCACACAACCCTTTGTTTTCTCTTGTCTTTCCTCTTCCCTGTTTCACACTCTCAGATTCTCTCCCTGCCGGGGTTTATTTATCTCTGGGCGTTTCTGTCCAGCTGGCTGTCCTTCCATTTCCTTCTATCTTTCCCTCCTCTCTAGCTGGCCCTCTTTGTCCATTTCCTTTCCCTTTCCTTCTTCCTCTTTTTTCCTTCTTCTGTCCTTCCTTCTCACGGTTACTTCACCTCTTTGTGTCTGCTTCTCCCCATCAATTCCTCCCTGTGGCTTTTCCGGTCTCTCTCTCTCTCTCTCTCTCTCTGTGTCTCTGGCTTCTGCGCGGATGGTCCCTCTGCCCGTCTCTATTTTTATCCCTCTGACACACCCCCTCGCGTTCACCCCTCTGTCTGTCCGTCTCCCCCCCTCCCGCTTCCAGCTCAGGACCCGGCTCCGGGTCCCAATTAGTTGATCTCCGCCAAGGCAGCGGCGGGGCCCCCACCCCCGGCGCCTCGTTACAGCCGGCGGCTCCTAATGAGCCTGGGGGAGGCTGACCCCAGGCCCCGGCCCCTGGGCTGCGTCACTGCCCGCCGGCTGCGGGGCTGCGGGGGCTGCGGGAGGGATATAAGGGGCTGCGGGCCTGGCAGCCCCAGTCCTCGGCGCGGTAGGGGCCCTGGGGTCTGGCTGCTGCGGGGCGTGGGTGGGTGCACGCTGGGGCTCGGGGCCAGGCGGCGGGCTTCACGGACCCCTTCCCGGTCTCTCCCTCCACAGGTGATGGAGGCTCGCCAGGTGCCCCGGAGCTCCCGGGCGCGGGTCCTGCTGCTGCTGCTGCTGCTGCTCGTGCCCTGGGGCGCCCGCACTGCCTCGGGCGCCGCCCTGCTCCCCGCGGGGGTCCTCAGGTACGTGCGCGGGGGCGGGGGCGCCCAGAATTCCCAGGGAGCAGGGAGGGAGGAAGGGGGCCACAGGAGAAGGGAACAGAGGCGCAGAGAGAGCGGCAGGGACCAGGAAAGAGGACAGAGACTAGGGGCGAGTAGAGATGCGGGTGGACAGGGAAGCAGCCAGAGATACAAAAGGATACGGGCTGGGGAAGGCCTTGGGGGACTTAAAAAGGAGTCAGCCAAAACCGGTGTGGCTCAGTGGATAGAGCGTCGACCTGCCGACTGAGGGGTCCCAGGTTCGATTCCGCTCAAGGGCATGTACCTTGGTTGCAGGCACATCCCCAGTAGGAGGTGTGCAGGAGGCAGCTGGCCGATGATTCTCTCTCATCGATATTTCTAACTATCTATCCCTCTCCTGTCCTCTCTGTGAAAAAATCAGTCAAATATATTTAAAAATAAAAAAGGAGTCAAAGCAGAACCGGGGGCGCTCCTTAAACCCCGGTTACTGGCTTCTCGGGATGCGCTGGGCGGAGGCAGGCCAGGGCATCAGGCTGTCTGTGCGCTCAGCGCCCCGACGCCGGAGAGAGACAGAGACCCACGCGGAGCACAAGGGGCAGAGGTCGGAGACCGGGCCGCTCCACGGCGGCGCAGCAACCGGGCTTCGAGTCAGACCTGGAGGAGGACAGGGGGGTGGCGGGCGGAGGCCTGGGCCCGCGCTGACCGCGCCTCTCCGTCCCCGCAGCCCCCGCGCCCCCGGCGCAGCCTGGGCGGCCCCGGCCGGCCCCCCGCGGCGCAGCCTGGCCCTGGCGGACGACGCGGCCTTCCGGGAGCGCGCGCGGCTGCTGGCCGCCCTGGAGCGCCGCCGCTGGCTGGACTCCTACATGCACAGGCTGCTGGTGCTGGACGCGCGCTGAGCCTGGAAAATGCCAATAAAGGCCCTACTGTGCGCCAGGCTCCGCCTCCTTCCTGCGGGTGTGTGCGTGCATTTGTGTGCGTGTGTCTGCGCGCGCGTGTGTGTGTGTATGTGAGAGTGTGTGTGCGTGTTTGTGTGTGAGTGTGTGTGCGTTAGGGGAGGGGTTGTGTGTGGGGGGGAGCGGGCACAGCACCGCCTCAGTCCCCTTTCCCGCCCTAAAAAAATGTCCCCTCCATCCATTATAGCCCCTCTCCATCTCTGCTCTACTCGCCCCGCCCTGTAATTTGCACCTCGTTCTGAGCCTCTGTTCCTCCCCCGTCCCCCCAGGCCCTGTTCTCTCTGGGTGTCTGTCCCCATTTCTCTCCCAGGCCACTGCCCCTTCTCTGGGGCTCTGTCGCTCTCTGGGTATCTGTCCTCCCTCCCCGGAGTCTCCGTACTTCTCTTTCACCTGGGAATCTCTAGTTCTCTCTTCTTGCTGCCCCTAAAAGTCTTCCATTCTTCATCATTTTTTTTTCTCTTTGCCTGACTCCTTTATGTCGTATTTTCTCCCTTTGGCTCTCCGTCTCACTTCCTTCCAGCTCTCACTAGTTTCTAAATTCCCCCATTCCCTTCTGTGGGCACAGTGGGGCGATCCGGGACTCCGATGTGAGCTGCACCTGCCGTTGAAGACCAGGCTCCCCAAAGGTCGCTGTGAGGTATCGGAAAGGGCTTAACCTCCGAGTCTCCTTTTCCTCATCTGAGGATAATCAGACACTACGAGGACTTCAGAACTGCGCCCCGCGCGAATCGAACGTTTTGATAGGAAGGGGTTTCCCCCTCTCGAAACAGCGTCCAGCAGCTTCTTCAGGGCTTTCTGTGTCTTCAGGGGAGACCATCAGAGCAGCAGGTTGGGGCGGGGAAAGGGAGGGAACCAGTAATCAGGCTCTCGGAGTCCTGGGCGGGGCGGGGAGACACCTGGCTGCCAGGGAAGCAGAAGGCAGCCAATCAGAACCCGCCTTTCTGGAGCCTTGGTCAGCCCCGCCCCCCAAGGTGACTGACAGCCTCCTGTTCTCAGCCGCCCTGGGCGCGGCTCGCGCGGACCGCGCTGTGATTGGTCTCGCGAAAGGGGGAAGCTGGGCGTGGCCGCCAACGGGAAAGGGGCGGGGCGGACTCGGTGATTGGCAAGCTCTCCCATAATTTGCACCGCGCCGTCATTACCCTTCGGGCCACGAGGTGTGTCCGTTTCTAAGATAACTGGAATCTTCAAAATCATCCAGAATTGGCCCAATTTTACAAACAAGACTCTGAAAGTCACGACTAATTTCCCAAGTTGCCAGCGCTAACAAAGCACAGGATTGCTGGAACCCAACCTGTGCAACTTCAGAGTCTAAACCTTCCCACTCTGCTGATGGAGAAATGGAGTTACACTCTTACAAGAAGTGACCATATGCTGGGCCCTCTTCTGGCCACTGAGTGGCCTCGTCCTGCGTGCTGGAGGGCAGGGTCCTGGCCTGCACCATTCCCACTCTACTTCCTCCGAGATCGCCACAGCGGGTAACACCCGGACCGCCGATTCCAGACTGAGGCTCAGGGCTCCAGCCACCCTTGGAACCCTGACGCCCACCCCATCCTCTATGAGCTCCTTCTCATAGGCTCCCCATCTTGGGCATGGCCTCGGTCTATGAGCCACTGGGTGAGGCACTGTCCTTGTCCTTCCTCTTCCCCTGCCTCACAGCCTGTCAGTGCCACCCGCGCACCAGGTCCCGCTCAGACCTCGTTCTCTCCCACCTGGGCCCCAGCCTTCTCCCCACCTCCTGCCTCAGCCTCACTCCATTTCTCCTGCCCAGTGCAGCTCGGGTCTCTTTCCCACTCCGCGCTGATTTTGTCCTTTCTCTGCTCTCAGCCCTTTCTTGGGCACTTATAGTTCATGCTGGTGTCCGAAACCCTTCATGGGCTCTTGCCCACCTCTCTATCTTAATTTCACCATCTGTAGCCTCCAATTCTTCCTGGCTCCAAATCATTTTCTTGTCATTAAATTTCTAAAAATATGTATCTATTGATTCCAAAGAGGAAGGGCGAAGGAGAGAAGAACATTCGTACTGAGAGAGCATCATTGACTGGCTGCCTCACTGGAGGTTGAGCCCTCAGCCCTGGCACGTGCCCAGACCGGAAATTGAACTGTGACCTCCTGGTTCATAGGTTGACACTCAACCACTGAGCCACACTGGCCGTGCTCTTCGCTTTAATCCCAGCAGCACGGTGCTGCCTATGGCTCTCACAGGGAGGATCCTTCCCACCCCCTGGTCTTCACACATTTACTTCCTCTGCCAGCACCTTCCTCCTCAGCCCCTGCTCATTGTAACCAGCGTCACCCACCTTTCAAGACTAAACCGGTGGCATGGATCTGGGGAGAAACCTCTAGCCTCCAGGCCGAGTTGGGTGCCTTTTTTTGGGGGACCCTTCCCTTGCCCAAAACCTCCCAGGGAAGCCTCTGTGGTGCTGAAACTGGTCTGTATCTTGACCTGGGTCGGGTTTTAGTTTCAAATGTTTACATATGCAGAAATTCATCCAGCTGATAAAGATTTGTCCATTTATCTGTATGTAAGTTACACCTCAATGAAGACATAAATAACCAAAAACAAGCAACAAAACCCCCCAAACCTCCCAGCATCCTTGGGGGAAATGCACGCTCCTCAGCTGACGCGGAGGGCCTGTTCTCTGCAGCCTTATCTTTTAAGGTCCAGCTGTGGCAGCTGTGTTTGTGGAGTGACAAAGGGTCCACTCCCTGCTGGCCCTCTGCATGGCAGACAGACACCTGTGCTGTGTGCCTGGCCCACACCGCCTCCTCCCTCTCCCGCCAGGAGAGGTGCTTGGTCTCCTAGCAGCGAGGGGTGAGGACGCCCAACAGTCCGGCCAACAGGATATAAACACGGGTCCGCTGCTGCTCTGGGAAGGCTCTGCTTTTCTTCATAAAAAAGAAGGTCTCATCACCTCTCCGCAGAGATGATGGGTGAAGCCACAATGGCCGCCATCCCCGGAGCGTGAGGGAAGGGCCAGGAGGGTCACAGGCTCAGGGCACTAGCAGCTGTGGGCCTCGTGCTGTTCTCCAGGCTCCTTTTTGAGAAAATAAATCCCTAGCACTTGCTCCATTATTGGGCGTGTTTCGCTATTATCAAGAAATGTAGTAAAAAAAAAACACATCACAAAACCAAGAGATGTCAAATAAAGACCCCATTCCGGGGTATGGACTCTGGAGTACTGAACTGCAACTGGGATCTTGCTAACAGTGGCACAACAATAGGAACAACCGAGAAATTCTCACTGAACTGGACATTGCTGAGGGGCGGGGAGCTTGGCTCACACTGGCGGGGGGCCGAGGTAGCAGAGCTGGAGGTGGGGCCAGGTGGGGGGCGGGGGCTGGCCCAGCAGCAGGACGGAGAGCAGCAGCAGCAGCAGGAAACCCAGGACGGGAGTGGGAATCAGTGGCTGCCGTGTGACCCTGTGGGGTGGCAGGACAGCGCTTAGGGCAGGGCCTGGGGAGTCTGTGTGTCTGGATGACTGACCACCACCTTCCTTTTGGGGATGCCGTGGGGCTCACCTGAGCTGCTGGGGTTGGGGGTGCAGGGAGCACAGGCAGAAGTGGCTCCAGACTGGCCTCCCAACTGGAACCAGCTTCCTCTCCACAGGCACCAGCGCGTGCTGTAGGTCTGGCTGGGAGGGGCTGCTGGGGAGAGAGGGGGCAGGGCAGTCACACTGCACCTTGTCCCCAGTTCCCTCCCAGTCCTGTGGTCCTAGTACCTCTCAGGAGGGCTTCTTGGAATGTCTCCAGGGTGAGGGTCTCCCAGAAGGATGGAGAGATCAGCCTGGAAGGACACGGGAGATGACAAACTTGGGACAGGGGGTCCCGGGCAGTGACCTCATGGAAGGGGGTAGAACAGTGAATGAATGGCTCACTGCGAGCTTCCCCAAAACACACTGCCAGTTGGGGTCCAAGCTCTGCCAGCTTCTGGCCTGTGCCCTTTGGCACATCACCCCACCTCTCCACGCCCCACTGTCCCCACTTGCTGGACAGGGGTGATGACAGGGCCCACCTCACAGGCCGAAGTGGAAACTGAGTGAATTCAGGTTAAAAGGAAGTGGGTGTGGGGCTCAGAACAGAGCTGGCACATAGTGAGTGCCCGATAACGGTGTGAGCTATTCAATTCGATTAGTTCCACTTCCACTGGATTCTGAAGTGTCCAATGGCAATAAAAAGACAGAATAAATAACCAATAACAGAACACCAGTTACCACCTTCACCACTGCCACCTCCTGCATCAGGCCTGCTCTGTGTCAGGCCTGGGGCCAGGCCCTTTCTGGCACGATCCTTAACCCTCACCCACCGAGAGCCGGGAGCTGGGGGAGGATCCTCACCCGCCCGCCCGCCCGCCCGGGGAAACATAGGGGGGACCGGGCTCCACAGAGGGTGTGGCAGGAGGGAGGTGGGCTCTGCATTCGGGCTGCTCAGAGCCCATGTGGGATGGTCGGGCCTGGAGCAGAGCCTGGCACACACTCCGGCTCTCAACCCCTCAGCAGAGGGCTGCAGGCTCCTCACTCACGTCACTTTTCCCTCCCTCCCTTTCCTTGTCTGGGAATGGGGACTGAAAAAGCAAAGGGCCTGGCCCTTTCCTGTGTGTGGGCGCATGTGCGTGTGCATTTTCGCAATCCGGGGGTGTAGCCCTGTCAGTGAGGCCGGTGGCGTGAAGGCTGCAGCCTTGTGTGCGCTTGGGAGGGGGGATCCCCTGGGAACATTCTGGCCGCCCACTAGCCCGTAGGCCACCACCCTCAGCACCATCCGCTCTCATTAGCTACAGCCAGGGCCTTGTTATCTCTCGGCCAAATGATTTTTCTGGCTGCGCAGGGGAAGTGAGGGTGCAGCGGCAGCTGGGGAGGAGCTGTGATGACACCAGTCCCTCCAAAGCCGGAGCGGATGGGGACTGGGGAGCTGGGGAGGGGTGCTGGGGACTGCCTACCGTGACGTGG